TGATAGGCTAGAAGGTGGTTCACATACTGTAATAGCATCGTTCAAACAGCATATGTTGCCTCATCAGAGGGAAACACTCCTCCTGGGTATTAGCATCCTGCCGTCCTGACACTTTTCATTTTTCCAGAGATGGTCAGACTTCCATTTTCCTATACGACGTCCATATTTACAATTTGGCACAGAGGGGCAGAGTGTGGCACTGTTGCTATGGTGACCGGTCTGTCTGTTGACCTGGCTGCCCAGCAGACTCATAGTTGGCACACACACACACACACACACACACACACACACACACACACGCATATACACACACGGCACATTCACTCACTATGTTGGCAAGGTCGCCAGTGTTTCCTCTTTCTCTTCTGTCCCGCATGCATGCGCATACACACACACGCACGCACACGTGAACACAAATGAACAGAGAATGCGTTTCTCCATAAAAAACATGTAGCTCTTCAAGATGTTTGCATCTGTAGGTTTTCTTTCTTTATAGATAGATAGATAGACCTCAGATGAAGACCTTCCCCCTTTCTTTTTGCCTCTGTCACATGGAGAGATGTGTGTCAGTGTAACCTGCTTTTTCATGCCTGTGGATATAATGACCCACATGAGAGCCACACACATACACTGACATGTTTTCGCACACACACACAAGTGCTGACATGTCGTGTCCCCCTCCTCTTCAGTGGTAATGATGCTGATGAGGTAGTCAGGGGAATCAACACATAGCCGTGCAGCTAAATAATGATGTCCACACTGAAGGTAAGAATGATGTTTCTTTTTTGTTTTTTCCTGAATGTTACATTCATGTGAGACCGAAAGATAAATGTTGTAGAACAAGACCATTATGTTACTGATGATGTGCTGAAATATCTGGCTTATGCTGCACTCATTTTCCCAAAATGTTATGAATGAAAAGAATACACATTTCAGTTCAAGGTAGATAACCACCATTAAAAAACAACATGTTGTGAAGGCACTGATGACCTTATAACACCCACAGGTTTGCATTAAACAACTTCACAACCATCTACTGTTAGCATTGAAGAAGTAGTTTGACATTTTAGGAAATACGCTTATTCGCTTTGCTTCTGGATCTAGATGAGAAGATCAGTGCCACTTTCCAGTTTGCACATTAAGCACTAAGCTAAAACAGAGGTGATTAGTTTAGCTTGGCTTAGCATAAATACTGGCAACAGCTAGTCTAGCTCTAAAAAATATACTTACAAACACTTCTAAGGCTTACTAATTAACATCTTGTATCTTTGTTTGAGTGGTACACAAACATAAAATATCAATTTGTGGTTTGAGGGAAATTAGTAGATAGTGTAACTATGTCTTAGAAAGCACTGGCTGGGCGGAGAGATAAGGTGTTGTGCGTCAAGAAATAGTTACACGACGTAACTCCCTTTATAATCACAAATTGTATGTTTTACATTATGTGTAAACAAACAACATATGTTAATAAGTGTGTTTTTAGAGTTGTGATGGGTGTGTTTTTTAACTTTGAACAAATCCAGGTTGAACTGTTTCCCCGTTATACTAATGGTATGAATCTACTCATCTAACTCTTAGAAAGAAGGGAATAAATCTCTAACCATTCCTTTAAACTGCATTAGTTGATATTTTTGCTGCTTGGGGCAGTGGAAACAAGCTGTAAACACAACACAAACATACCTTTTAAAGTTGATTTGGCAAACTTGTAAGAAGTCAGTTGCCTATTTGCACATCTGGCATTCATTTGGACATTAAGTCCAATATTCACTCTCCTATTAGCTCTGTTTTGCTCTTCACCATCTACTGAGGGAAATATATTGCTCTTTAGTTGCTAAATGGTAAACATCTCTCATCATTTCTGCAAAACAGGATTTTGAAATTGTTTATTAAAAGTTTTCGAAGAAACATCTTGAATGTTGTCATGGGAGGTTTGATTTGCAATTTGTGAAACCAGCTTGTAAAGATTTTGAAGCAACTCATGCCATTGGAGTTAATTTTCAGCAGTGAATCTGTGCACACACACGCACACACACACACACACACACACACACACATTAATTTAACATCAGATGTCAGAGATGCACATATGCTTTTACACTCAAAAGCCCATTCTGCTGTGAAGTCCTCTGATCAAAATCAAAGGCCCACAGCATGTGCACATACATTCTGCAGTGTGTGTGTGTGTGTGTGTGTGTGTGTGTGTAAGTGTGTGTGCCCCAGCTGTCTCAGAGAGCTCCCTGTTGTTTGGCCTGCCGTGGCAGACGGAGCCAATGCAGTAAACTCTGTGGATCGATGCTCGTTTGGAGGATTTCTCTGTTTAATTCCACCTCAGTCAGCAGCAATGCATCCTCTTCTTTGTGTGTGTGTGTGTGTGTGAATACGTGTCCTTGTGTGTGCACATTTGTATCTCTATCTTCATATTGAGTTGTCTGTGTGAGCAGAGGAATGCTGCAGGAGTTTTTGTTGTGTGTGGATGCTCACATCTATATGCACTTCAGCCCCCCCCCCCCCCCCCCCCACACACACACACAAAGAGCTGGGAGTCTTGCAGCAGAGGCTAAAGACACACACCATCAGTCTGTCTAGCACCTCCCCCTTGCTTTGATTACACTCACAATGTTATTATTTGAGCACACCAGCATCAGCATATTGATGAATCTTCCCCACTACCTGCTCTCATTTAATATGCTTACACGCGCACACACACACAATTCATGCCAGCACACCTTGTGATTGCACACACATTCACAGGTAAATGCATGGCATCATAGCACACATACATGCACCACAGCACATTAACACACTTATGTGCGCCATCACAGGAGACCACCCACCCCAACAAACCAAAATACAAGCTGTTAGCTTTTCTCTTCACCAGCTACCTCCCACGTCCCTCCCTTCCCTCGCTCCCTCCCTCCCTCCCATTGTCACATCAGGGATTTCCAGTGTTCCCAACACGTTGCCGCCATCATGGCCCTGCAGATGTCACTTAGCTGCAGACACACCTCTTCATTTCTCCATCCATCCCTTCGCCTCTCGTGGGACACGGAGGAGGGACAGAACGGGGAGCAGTGAGTGCATGTGGGTGTGTGGCTGTCTCTGTGTGTGTGTGTTTGTGTGTGTGGCTACAGAGGGGGAAGGGAGCTGGGCAGGTTAATGAATAAGTAATTAGGATTGACATTGCGTCTGCAGTGGGTTTCCCCAAACTATTTCTACCACTCTCTCTCCGGTCATCTGTGCATGTTCTGAACTCTCTTTGTCATCTTCAACCCTCTGCTCCCCCTTCCCCTCCCCTCCCTGTCTCTCTCCTCTCCTTGCAAAACCCCCCTCTACCTGTCTCGCTATGGGCCTCGCCTCTCTAACCTTCTCCTCCCCTTGTCTTCAAACACTCACCAGGCTCTTTTGTTCTGTCCACATCCACACTCATCCACCTCTTCTTCTGTCTCCTTTTAATGTGCTATTGATCAGTGGAGATCACTGGATTGGAGTCTGAGGTTCTCAATACATGCAGACATAACATTAAAGCTTGGCACAGCTGTGCATTTTAAGGGCTGTTTTCAAGATCCCTAAAGAAAACACTGTAAAATTTTGGCAGCAGACAACACAGAGCCATATGTGTGATTGTATACTGTTGTTTATGACCTTGAGGTGCACCAGTATACCTCAGAGCACAACTGTAAGACATATGGTTTGAACTACCTCTTGGCTTGACTGTGCTGGTTTCACATGTGGGAGATGAATGAGAGTGAAAGAGCAGGTTTAAAAGGAGTAAAAAATGGTTGGTGGGCATATAGCGATGTCCTCTATGCTTTGTCAAGGGCAAAGTGGACAGAGGCTAATTTATAGTATGTGCTGGCAGATAATATAAAGTGCTCGTCCGTCATTATGGCCGAAACTTTTAGCATTTTGTGTTAGAAATGTTCCTCTGCCATCCAACAGATCAAACATGGCGGCATCATCACAGGCTCAGAGCAGGCGTCATTTTGCTTTTTGACAGCACAATCACAGATATTTCAAACCATGTCTTGTTTATCACTCTCTCTCTCTCTCGCTCTCTCTCTCTCTCTCTCTCTCTCTATGTGTATATAATGTTTTTATATACATATATATATATATATACTATATTAATAACATATCTTTGTGGTATTTCTCTTTTGGATAGACTATAATTATAGTCCCACCACAAAGGAAGGCATATTGACAGTCTCCTCCAGAATGACAAGCACCTTTGGAAAAGAGGAGCTGACAAAGCAGAAAATACTGTAAATACCACAAGTAATGAGTGTCGGCTGTGGTTTGAGTAACTGTCGATGTAAATACGACACGATTTGACCACAAGAAATTTCTGTGTGTGAAATTTCTGTGTGTGAAAGTTATGTCTGTGATGTCTGACAGGGTGTACCCAACTTCTCCCCAGAGTGGAACTGACTTTGGCCCTGCACAAGGCTAAGTGGGTCTATATGAATGGATAGAGAACTTTGTTTTCTGAAATAACATTGCTTGAATATTGCTAATGCTGCTATCCTGGCTAGTAGCCTATCTTTTGTTCACCAACATCACAGGCTAACAAGGACAACAGGTCAAAGGTCAGGCCCACATTGCTGCAACAAAAACACATAGAATTACAACATACTAAAATGTAACACAAACAACTGAAAATGATTTTATGGGCACCCTATCACGCCAGGTAAATCTGTGTTCTACATCATTTGTTACTTACAATTCAAGCACTAACTAAGCTTTAGGTGTTCTCGTTTGTTTGGGCATAATTAGATTTTCAATGATTTGTTTCACTGAGTAACATATCTAACAATCTAAAAGCAGGATATTGACTGTTTCATGGGTCATGTTTTCCCTTGCAGGCATCAAATTCCTATCTAAACCAAGCTACAGCATGACCAATGCTACATCCAGCATATGACAGCTGCAGGACTTTAGACCTTGGACAGCACTATTTGACTGCCTGTAAATCATCTGCACAAACTGTTTTTCTGGTCAATTCCCAAACTTTTCTCCTAGCAACACGTGTTCCCAAGGCTAGTATCTGGTGAAATAAATTAAGTCAAGTTGTAGGCCTATAACCAACCCTTCTGAGGACATCCTGAAACCCTCCCAAGGTCCTTCGGGCATCTCTGGACCTCAGTCTACTTGGCAACCTTTACTGAGGCTACTCTGCATCCAGATCTTGTGATAAAGTTAAAGCCTAGCCGATTTAACAATGTTTTAATTCTAGGTCTGGTCAGTTTTATCATCACTGGTCAGAGAGGAGAAGGACTTCTGACAACTAATCTTCACTGCAGGCTACAGTGTCTGATATCAACAGGCCGTCCAGACACGTCCCGTTCACACCGCGCACTGACCACAGGAGAGTGATGGTGCTCCCGAGCAGCCCGAGGAGCGCAATTACACAATCTCAGCTGCCTCTCAAACACACACAGGCTCCACAGAGAGGAGGAGACGAGGAGGGCGCCTCCGTTCGTCCGTCCATTCATCAATCCGCTCAGTAATCGCTCTCTGCTGCCTGGACCTCCCGCGTGCCCCTACCAGCCTGCGCGGAGGCGCGAGACTACACCACGAGCCTCGGTCTGTCGGCGGCGGCCGCGAACAACAGTCGCACGCGCATACCGGCGAGAGGGGGGCAGCTGGGAAGGACGCTCAGCGTGGAGAGAAAAGAGAGCCCGTCTGTCAGTGTTATTCCCCGATGTGGATGTAGAGAGACACAGGGGTGTGAGGACCACCGCCGCAAACTCTCCTTTTCAGCCTCTGACTGAACGCATTTTACCGGTGAGTGAGGAAACCATACGTTGTCAAAATAGTATCTTTTTTAAGCTAGTAGGGCTGCGTTAGCGCTAAAATACATGTTTAACTGACAATTGTAACGTAGCCCGTGCTTAGAGACCATGTAGGTTATTTTATTTTATTAGCGAGACGAGCAAACGCTCTTCCCGTGGAGGCTGAGGGTTCGCGTCCTGTTTTTGTTGCTGTGACCAAACATATACAGACAGCAGCCTGCTCGTACCGGCAGGCTTTAGGACAGGCTGGACGATCTGCGCCGCGCGGGCCGTGGGATTTTATGGAGGTGTGTGTTTTTTTCTCTCCCTCTGTCCCCCGAGAAGAGGAAGAGAAAAGCGTTTCCTTTCCGCTTTAAGGGAGGACAAGTCGATCTTGAAACGCGACCAAGGTCTATTTTGGAGGAAAAGAAAGACACCGGCCTCAATTGAGCTTGAACCGTGTCTCCCAGCCATCCTGTTGTCATGGTTACTGGATCGGGGAGGCTGGGGGAACATGGCTGTCTCGCGCGGTGCTGTCTCTTTCTCTCTCTCTCTCTCTCTCTCTCTCTCTCACACACACACACACACAGGGAGAGAGACACACACAAAAAGCCATGTCTGTGTTTGTTTATGTCTTTTTAAGTGTGTTGGGAGACAGTTTGGAGAAAGAACCGGGCACACAGGAACCTTATTATACAGTTTAAGGGGTATCCTGTTATCCTATGCACATTTGAAAGCAAAGGTTTTCTGCAATCTCCCATAGAAATTATAGGTTGACCACAGATGAAGAAAAAAAGACCTTTAAGATCACTAAATGCCTAACATGGACTGCTGCAGGCACAGTCCAAAAGCCTACACTGTACAAGAAAACTGAAGCCTAATGTAAGACAGAGCTTCTGGCCTAGATTTATCTTTTCCTGTACAGGATGTGGGTGGCTTATTTAAAACAGGTGTTTGATAGCTCTTATTTTTCACCCCCCAAGCAAACTAATTATTATCTTAATTATAGACATTTACATATCTAGTCTAGATCCATTGTAATTCATTCCCCAATACAACTGTGGGCTCTCCCAGGCAAAAGTGCAGCTCTCTCCAATGTAATCATCTTAAACTGAAGGTGTCAGACATCTAGACACACAAGCTAACCCAGCTAACCCTGAACTATCTCTTCTCCTGATCCTCTCTCTTATTGTCCTTCTCTTTTTTAGGTTATTGACACAATGGTTGATGTTTAGAAAATATATGATTTGGATTGCAAACATGTGAGACCTATTAACCCACTCACAGTTTGATGTTATCTCAGTTTTACCTTTTTATATTCATATTTGCAACTTGTGTTTACATTTCATACGCTAGATTGAGAAAACATGATTTAAGGTTGGCTAAATAAAGGCAAAATAAAAAGTGTTTAATACAGGCTAAAATAGCACTCCTAAGGGTTATTTCATTCATTTATATTAACAAAAGGAACGGCATGTTGTGTAATAAAGAGTGAATTTGCATGACAAAATGGAAGTGCTGAGGGAAATAGCCCAAAACAAGATAAATCACCACATTACTGTGAACATGTATTTAGACGTAAGCATTTAGAGTGACACAATGCGAGTGGATGGTTGACCTTGACAGCATAGAAGTGACATATTGGGGTGATTTGGGTGAGCTGGCTGAATGTTAACGCTCCAATAAGCTGGTGTGGCTAGTTGGAGGCTCCGTTGCCATGCTGGTGTGACTTGTAGGCAGGCAGGCTAGAAAAACACGCTGGACTACTTCCAACCCCACATCTTCCTGCTTTCCTGTCTCAGGCTATACAACCAGGAAATGATTTTTCTTCCTCTCTGTCTGCATCTGTGCTTGTTGTAACAACAGCATTTTTTAAAGGTGACTCAATCTCTGCACTGTGTGTATGTGGTGCAGTGCTGCACCTAGCATATTATGAACAGGGTCAGTAGGTCATTTATAGTATAGACTGCAGTGTTTTTTCTGAGCCTGTCTCTCTGATAGACAGAGGAAGAGGGGAAGGGGGGGCTTCCTTCTGTGTCCTTAGTATTCAGATCTGATTATCATCCATCAGTACTCAGCTGTTAGCTTCATAAATTCATTTTGATTACTAATTAGCTCTTTATGAAGAGTGTTTAGAGGGTTGCCCTGGTGGTCGTAGTGGGTTAAGGTGTCTATTACGACATCCTCTGTTAGGTTTGAAACCTTTTTTTTTGTTGTGTTTCATTTCCCCCTTTTCTTTTGTGAAAGCTATAATAGTGCAAAAATAACAAAAGTATAACACTGAACTGGTATTGTATCTCTATGTGGACATAGTTTACATTTTAGAAGATGAGATTATCAACTCAATGTCAATGACTGCAGGGAAGCACCAACACTATGTCCTTCACATCACTTGTCAATACTGTGTTGAAGCCTTTCAGTAAGAAACCCTCAGGATGACATACAGCGCAAACAAAAGAACTGCACAAATGTTTTTCTATTTAAAATGAATTGTGGACAGCGCTACAAACATAATGAGATCAGACGGGATAAAAGTGGTCAATTGGCTGCCTGTTCCGCCACTTAAACTAAAAAGGTGGTGCAGTGATGCCCAACGTGAATGTCTGCAGGCAGAGTAGTGCTTTCAAAAAGACTTGCTATGAAAAGATAGATAGATAGATAGATAGATAGATGGATGGATAGATAGATAGATAGATAGATAGATAGATGGATGGATGGATGGATGGATGGATGGATGGATGGATGGATAGATAGATGGATGGATGGATGGATGGATGGATGGATGGATGGATGGATGGATAGATAGATAGATAGATAGATAGATAGATAGATAGATAGATAGATAGATAGATAGATAGAGATTAAGGATGAAAGAGATTAAGGCTTTATTCAGAACACGAGTTTCTATAATACGATGTGGCTGTAATTTAATCACTTCATATTGCAACCCTGCAACATGCTTTTTCTTGCCTGTTGTGTAGCTCTGTTATTCGATAAACTCTCAGGGAATGCTGGGTAATCCTCTGCACCTCGCCATGTTACATTCAGTCACAGCCACTAACATCTGGCGCAACTTTAATAGAAAAGGTGTTAAGGGTCCTGCTAAAAAGCACAGAAGTATCCAGCTGATTTGAACATCTTTTCTGCCTTGGCTGCTCTTGATTATCGTCTGAATGAACACTCTATGCAATAACTTTGTGTTATGCGAAATGTTAGAGCTAAATCTATCTCCTGTGGGTCCACCAACTTCATGGAAGTACTGAAGTAACCCTTTAACAGTCTGTCACAGCAAAGTTACTTGTTTTGTTCAAACCAAGTCAAATAGTATTTTCCATAAACATTCAAATGAGCATTGCAGAACACATGACACAATTTAAAGTTGAATCACATTGAACTTGAAGACACAATGCAGCAGCCGTGCTTCCTTGCATGCTCTGGAGAAGTGTTTTCTCTTATTTTTGAAGCATCCCGTCTGATTACCTCAGTAGTGTTTCTTTGGCATCTTTCCGCCTATAGAGACCAGTGATGCTTATTGCTGAGGACTCCCAGTGGGCTGTGGCTCTATGTCTCAGGGATCAATAAATGATACCATGATGCGTGTCTATGTGTGCGCATTGTGGTGTGTTTTTGTGTGTGTATCAGATAGTGTGTGTTTGTCTGAGTGAGACAGGAAGACAGGCAGAGAGATGGAGAAAGAGATATAAAAGGCACCAGAGACAGAAAGAAGCTATTTAATGGCGACTTGGCCTTTTATCCAACGTCTTCCTCACTGGATTGGTGATTTATAAGCCTGGATGGGCATGTTTCAGATGTGTGTTTGTGTGTCACTCACATGATTGGCAGATGGTCCGATCACAATTAAAGGAAATTGATAAGGCTTAAGATCCCCAGTGTTCTGCTGACAGAAGTGAAATGCAGTAAGTCTCTCCTGATAGCCATTGTACACACAGAGACACAAAGACTGAGACACACACAGAGTCTGATAGCCCCACACACATGCTTTCTCTATCATTGGCTGTGTTTTCTCAATCCATCTATGTGGGGTGTTGGAGCACATCTGCTCTCTCTCCTCAGTAGATTCATAGTGTTGCTCACTTCCACAGTTGTCTTTTTTCCTGCTGGCTAAGACCCATTTACCTCAATTACTGCAAAATGAAAGGCTGAGACAGAGAAACGACAGAGCGGCGTTAGACAGTGAGATAGCAGAAAACATAATGTAGAACAGATGAAGAGGAGTGAGTGAGAGAAAAACAGGACACTGGAGACAAGCTGACAGAGAGAGAGAGAGAGAATTCCCACTTTCCGTGTCTGGTTTCATAACTGTTCCCTGTTTCCATTTATGGAGATGTGTCACTGTTTTGTTCGTGTGTGCGTGTATTCGACTGTGTGTTAATATGTGCAAATGCATCTTTGTGCAATTGCGTAAAGGGATGCAAATTGTGCTTGTTTGCATATTGCCTAGTACATGTGTGAACATGAGCTCCAACAGGCTCCGATTGAAATCTTTTATTTTAAATATTCAGTGTCTGACTTTAGGATTATTTGAGCGCATGCTAATCAAGGGAAGCACATACTGATCCTGAAAGTGTTTAGTCATGAAAATCATTTGAGATTTACCTGTATTAGTATTTCATAATGCAGTACATCACGTTTTCTGCATATGGAATACGCTGAAACAAAGTGAAAAAGAGATAATGCAAATGATTCCCATGTTCCTTCTCATCACCAAAAAAAAGAAAGAAAGAAGAATGAGTTTGCAAATCATTGATCACACTTTCAGAAAGAATTTCTTGGGGATTAGAGTGTCCTTTGAGATCATCGCACTTTGAACAGCAGTCAGAGTGAGAAGGATTAGAAGATGCTAGCAGAGACAAACTGCTTGGTTGTGAAAAAACACACAAGTGCTGATGTTAAACTGTATTTTTAAAACATAACACTGCTTGCATTTCTCAGAGTGACTGAAGACAGTTTTCACTTATTGAAACTGTAATGTGATGAGGAGGATGATAGCGTAAAGCCGATGTGTTCGGCTTATTCTTGGCTTTGAGTGCTCCAATAATAACATTTGCCGCAGGGATTGAGACGGAGCACTCAGTAGCTACCATTGCATTTGACAACATAAAGTCCTAAAAAAGGTCTGCTGTAATTAGGAGACACGCTTGAAATAAGGGAGCAATTTGCTTTACTTTCCGGGTTCTGCATAGTTTGCATCATCTTTTTGCAGCTCTGATGAAACATTTAGTTGGCCTGTGGTGTCCTAGTGCTCAGGGGCTAAGCCAAAGCACTTGCAACATCATAGATATAAATTTGGCTGACATCCTACCCTGCCATAAATCGTTCCTCTCTAACTTGATCCTGATTTTTCAACATAGTTTGATATCAAAATAAGGCAGAAATGATGCTATAAATTTCCCCTGAGAAAACCACAGAGTTGTGTTGGCAGGATTCAGTATGTTCATTTCAGCCTAACTAGGTTCTTACCTGCATCTGCATGCCATGAGAAAACCTTTGAATCCCAGTAAACATTTTTGCTGCAGTTGTGATGTAAGTCTCCTGCTGCAGATGATTCAGCAGAGCAGAGATGTGATGTGGCTAAGGACTCTGTCTGTATCAGGCAGACAGGGCTGCTTACTGGCCGCACTCAATATCACAATATTAGAATCCAAACATCTACTTCACCAATGCAGGTTTGTGCTCAATAAGATGTTATTATGCCAACTGCACTGTGGCTTGATTGATGCCATATCAAACTGAATTGTAATAATAACATACATACACACTTTATTTACCTTTACTGTTCTCTCCTGACATTGTACTGTTATTATGTACAGTTACGTCACATAACAGTCAGATGAGACAAAGGGAAATGCAACAATAGACTGGATAATAATTCAAAATTATTGTTTATTATCTACTGGGTTGGGCCTCACGGTTTAGTCTTCATATTAATAAGAAGATATTTATGATAGCGGTTACATGGCAGAACATCGCACATGTACAGTATGTAAAATCAAATGAGATTGAAAGTTGGAAACAGGCGAAACTATTTCAAAGTTCCATTAATAGCTGGAGCTGAAGCTTTCGATCGAATCACGCAATCCACCCCAGCAGATAAAGTTTGCCCACTTGTAGATGTTTTTTTTGTTTTGTGTTTTTCTGAGCAGAAAAAGGACTTTTTGTCCATGTTGGTTTATAAGAAAAGATTTAAAGTTCATTCTTGACCTTGAAGATTGCGTGATTCAATCAAAAGCTCCAGAACAGCTACTAGTGGACCTTGTGTTGAAATTGTTTTGCCAACTGCTGTTACCAAGGTCATTGATTTCAGCCATATCCCAACTCATTAAATTTAGGCTGCAACTAACAATCAGTGTCAGATTAAATTATTTAAGTAATCCTTCTATATAAAAATCTAATAGTTAAGAATGCACATCGCAATTTCCCAGAGCCCAAGCTGATGTCTTCAACTGCCACAAACCCAAAGACATTGTATTTACAAGAATATAAAACAGAATAAAGACTAAATTCCCATACAGATTTGATTTGAGAAGCTGTAATCAACAAATGTTTTATGGGTTTGCTTGAAGGATTAATCTCCTATTTTAAAATTAAAAATTAATTGGATAATCATTTCAGCAGTAGTCAAATTCTTCAAAAAAAGGATTCATTTCATTTTCTATACTCACAAAAAAATCTTATTTTTCATTAAAAATAATGATATCTCAGCTAATTCAAACATAACTAGTTCTGCAGAACAGTAATTAAGAGCTGCTCATTACCATTTGCCCTTGAGCCTCAGAAAGGATAGAGGAAGACTTGCTGCACAGAGGTCGCGGCTGCTCAGCCAACAGTGCAAATGAGCGTCACAGTAAAACATTAAGATACATGTTCATATCAAAGGTTACTATCATGCATTTACACAAAGTGCAGTCCCAGCTGGATGGATGGAAACAGATCCTTATTCAGCTGTGAAATCTCCACATAGACAGAGACCGGATGAGCTGGCAGGATCATTCTGACAGGGATCTGTTGAGCTTTATTAAACAAATCTCTCTCTGTGCCTGTCTGCCTGTATTCCTCTGCTTTCTACTCTGTCTACCTTTCCCTGCCCTCCTTTCAGAGATGTTTTGGGATCATCTGGTGCAGAGGTGTCCCAGACATATGCACCTCTCTCTCTCTAACACACATACACACCTAGTAACACACTGCAACACACACTTTTGTTGAAGGTGACCCTGTGACTCGCGGTTAAGACTATAAAAATAATCAAATGACTGGATCAGTATCTGCCGTGTTTATAATTTTATAACACTGCCTTCTTCTCCTCGTTTTCACTTGGTACTTTGTCTTCATTTCATGCTGATTTTTCTCTCTCTTCTGTGTCTCTGTGTCTCTGTAAAGGATCCTCCCTGGTTTGGACAGCCCCTCCCCTCAGTTGAAGAGCACCATGACCCAGGAGGGGCAGGCTCTGCCCTCTCCCACCCCACCAGAGAACCCAGTGGAGCCCAATACAGCCACCAGCACCACTGACCCGCGCGCAGACACACACAACCATGCAGAGCAGGACAAGCTGGGGGCCAGGGGGGCGGACAAGACAGAGGAGGGGAAACAAGAAGAAGAAGAGGAAGAGGCACAGGGAGAGACACACGGGGAAAGAGAGGGGAGGGGAGAAGTAAAGGATGAGGGAGGAGAGGGTGAGTTGAAAGAGGAGAGAGTAGATGGCACTGGTGATGAGGATCAACAGACAGACGGAGGGGCGGAGGGAGAGAGGGAAGGGACGAAAGGGGAAGGATGTATAAATGTAGAGGTAAGCTCGGGGGAAGAGGCAGCACGTGAGGCGGAGGGGATGAAAGAAGAAGAGGAGGAAAGTGATGAGAAGCAACTGTCTATGGAGGAAGAGGCATCTCACCCTCAAGAAGCTGGGCGGTTAGTTCACTAAATCATCTGTCGCACTCGAGATATGTTTTGCTGATAGCGTATGAACATCTTGTGACTACATCTTTTGACCTTTAGGTGTCAAAGGATGAAATAAAATGAAAACTGGCAGGACTCTCCTGTACCCCTTAGATCCACCAACAGACTTTCCTGTTTTAGTTGTGTCTTTACATGAGAATCATCAAGTAGACTTACACACACACACACACACACACACACACACACACAGCTTTCTGAAGACTTACTTATTATAGTAACCTAAGACTGTTGTTTGTGGTTGGGCAGACCATGGTCATGTGATATCATAATAAAATGCCACTTTTCCGTGCTGAATAGTTTTAGTGGCAATTTGTTTTCTCAGTGTGGTTCTGTGGTACATAATTAGCCTAATTTGCATTTTACAAAACGAATAGGAAAAAAGCATAAACTAAATGAGCTGAAAGGAAAACAAACAGAGAGAAAATGGTCTAATTTTCAAAGAGCCGGAGGACCCAGGAAGCCAATTCTAAACCAGCAAAGATAGTAAAGGGCAGTAGGTGAAAAGTTTGAAATATGACATGTCTGTTAATTAGTGCTTTGCTAAATGAGAGAAAAAAACCCACATAATAATAGATAAGAAAATGATACATTGGTGGTTGTTTTATGATATACATACAACACAGAAATACAATTAACATACACGTAAATTAAGCTGTTTCACATCCCTCTTTGATGAAACTAATTTTGTGGGTATTTTCTGTCCAGCAGCAGCAAACACAGAGCGCTACAATAGATTCATATTCTCACAAATACAAGGGAGGAAATAGTGGCGGTTTGGCAGACGAGCGAAGATGAGCTTCCACTATTGACAAAGTACCAAATGGGACCGTGATTTTTTAACTTTCATCTTGCTTCAGTTGTCAGTGTGGCTATTCAAGCTGAAATATTTGCCCATTGTGCATACTTCTCCTGAATGAAGAATGATTTCTGCAATGAATATGAATGATCTGCTAAAGATAATTTCACATTCTCCTTTTCTTTTCTTTCCCCGTGTTGAAACAGACTGGCAAATGGCCTAGGTGGGAATGAAGATGATGATGAAGCGGGTGAGGAGGACAAGGTGGGAGATGAGGGGGGGGCTCATACACACTTGGACACTTTCAGCTCTAACTTTGAGACTACTGTAGAACAGGCCGACACAGAAGTGGAGGAAGAAGAGGAAGAGGTCCAGAAAGAGGAAGTTGGGATAGAGAACCAGGACAGCTTCAGCTCAGCGTTTGAGCAGATTGTTGAGCAGGTTGATGTTCAGGAGGAGGAAGAGGAGGAAGAGGAGAGGGAGTTGGAGGAGGAGAGAGAGAAAGGTAGTGTGGACAACAAAGACGGCTTCAGCTCTACATTCGAGCGTATTGTAGAGTCTGCCTTGCTGAGGGGCGGGACCTGTTACAGCAGCCTGGACTCTCTGGACGTGCTGTCACTCACAGATGAGACGGACAGCTGCGTCAGCTTTGAGGCACCACTGACCCCACTCATCCAACAGAGGGCGCTGTTACAGGGTCCTGAACCCCTGGAGCTGGAGCTGGCAACTGTTCAGGAGCAAGAAGGGGCTGAGGCTGGACCAGACGCCCCAGGTGGTGATCTCACAGCCGGGGAGAGCGCCCTCCATGGAGCCGGAGCTGTGGCTGGAGTAGGAGGAAGCCCACTGAGGACCACCATACCAGGGAGCAGATCAGAGTTTGTGCTGAGCCAGCCAGGACGCTGGGCCATCCCTAATGGATACCATAAAGACTCCCAGGGAGCCATAGAAGGTTGTGGAGCCATGATCAACTCTGTCAGGTAAAGAAGCCACTTTAAGGTTATTTAAGCCCTTATGTTTGGATATGTTTGTATTTACAGCATCATTAAAAGTATTCTGAAGGAGTGAGTTTAGTTTTGAGATAAATTAGACAATCCAGGTGAAAATTGGTGCCGTTTACGTACTTCTTTCAGCTTTTTATTCTGCATTTCCAGGTCAGATATATTGGGGTGAGAGGGTATGTTATCTGTGTGCCTTGCTGCTGTCTATGTGTGACTACCAGTGGCCAAAGTCAGAAACCTTCAAATCCTACACACAATAAGATTGAAAGTACTTGAAAGTCCAACAATATACTATACAACAATTTTCCAAATTTCCAATATCATCAGTTGTGCTGTAAAGCAACTGACATGAGTTTGTGTATTCATTTGACAATGTACAGAAATTGATAATTTACTGTATTGTGTGTTACTTTCCTGGGAGTTTTTTAATACTGAGAATCATGTAAAAAAATATATACTGATACTCTAAATGAAAAAAGGGATATGTCCTGTCACGATGCAGGTCCTTGTGATGAACTTTGATTATACTTAGATATCTCAATACAAATACAGATACACATATTAGAAAGGTCGCAATTGTGATTCTTTCCGTATTGTTCAGATGATAACATTCAGGTAGCACCTCAAGCGTCATTCTTTAAACCTGACTGAACTTTCATGCAATTGTAACAGCTAATACACACTGTACCCCTGAAGAAAGATTTAACAACATATTTAACAGTGGCACAGTAACACTTGTTCCACCACATACATTTTAGTATTGAGTTTAGATTACTGAAGACAGATTCCAGTGTGCGCCCTTTGTGTAGATATCATAGGTAGATGGCGTCCTGAAGAGTAATTACTGTAATACCCTGTGACCTTGGCTTAACCAGCAGGTGGCGAGAGCAGAGTGAGACAGAGCTGTGGGCCCTTAGAGAGGGGGCAGGGTGGTTGGTTGGGGGTGAATGCAGTGGTCTGGCTGTTTGAAAGAAAGTCGTTTGTCCATACATGCAAATCCTTACCAATCTACCCAACAAACAGGAAATACATGGTGCTGAAAGAAAATCTAGTCTGATGTTACTCATCTTATAGTAAAATCCTGCGTATCACTTCAGTGTGAACCTTAACGTTTGCACAACAGGCTTAAACAGCAACAAGCAAACAAAAAGGCAGTACTGAAAAAAAAGCAAAGTTGCAGAAGGAGAGCTTTTACATTTTTATGGAGTCAGTGGGACTGTTTAAGCGGGATTTGTGCATTTGAAATGAAACAGCTCCTTCCCCTGTTGGTACTGACTAAGAGCCTGGTAAATCCAGACACCAGTTCATGAAGCAGACCTGGAGATTGTGGCTCGGGTATTTGCTTTCTTCAACCATTTTGCTTTAAGCATACTTGCACAGTAGGGAGAGATAAACCTTGTGCTGCCAAATTACAAAAGGTTTATGCATGATAAGAGACCTTCCATGAACAAAAACAGAATTTGTAGGAGTGGTGGTTTGATATGGGAGATTAACACTTGCAATGTATAGAGCCGTATGAACATATGACAGAACAGAGGAGTATCCTCTTTGTCTCAGATAGCCAACTGATATTTATGACAATGCGGAGATTTTACGCTATGACCTCTAACTCATCTCAGTCCATTGTTTGCATAGACCCCAAGGAATTGTGGCAATACAGCAACAGCTGACACTACTTTCTTACATTTAATTACCTTAATAGCACTAAAGAGGGTTGAGGAAGACAGCGCAGAGCCACTGAAGGGGGAGGTGGTAACAGGAACCATATGGGAAAAGCCATGTAACTTGAACTATGGCTACAGCTCTGGTTGGCTGGCCTGTATACAATCCCTGTGACTTGTTCTCCAGCACTGCATAGTTTCAGTCACTAACCTACTGGAATGCCAAATAGATGCACAGACCTCCAACATGATCAGCTCAGCTAACTGCTGGGATTTGTTCACAAACTCTCCTGGTGCTTCTACAGCTCAGTATGAGTTATGGGATGAACCGAGGATTCAAGATGTCTGCTCTCCTTCTCTTTCCCTTCTCTCTCTCTCTGTCTCCCACCGTCTACAGATGTTGTCCTTTAAGCACGGTCTTGCTTCCTGACCACCAGCGCCAAGCTGAATGAGCTATTGTTTGTCATGACATCATCATTTTCAGCTTTCCTCTGCCCAGCAGGGTTTTAGTGTGTGTATAAGTGAGCGATTATTGCTCTATGCTAGCCAGCTTGCCAGACATTTGAGCACTTAAATCTAGAGTGGATACATCTGCTAGTCAGTCTTAAAGGGATAGTTTAAGTTTTACTCACAGTATCCAATTTATCATGAACTGGAAGTCCTTGATGCACATGCAACTTTAGTTTTTTAGGATATTAAAAGGGAGAAGTTGCAAATATTAGTAATTCTAGTGCAAGGCCATTACTAAAACAGAATTACAGCTGAAGCACAATCAAATGTTTAGTTGTTTATCCAGAGGGAGCATGTTTGATTTTAACAGAATTGCTTTTTCACCCAATTGAATTGAAGTAGCTTGACCTTGCACACTAAAAATGCTAATAATAAAAACCAGTGGATGTATTGTTTTTTGGATAAACACACAGCTCATTGCGAATAGACTTTTATAATTTTAAAAATCACACCTTAGCTTTTAAAGATTCATATCACAAAACAATACAAGCTATAAAGGCTTCTACGTTATATCGTCCATTTTAACATGTATTTCTTTTCTTATTTTCTCTCTTTCACTCTGTCACTCCATCTCTTTGTCTGCTTCATCTCATCTCACCTCCTGCCTCTGTATTCATTTCTCCACTTTAATCGTCTTATCTCACTTTATCTCCCCCCCCACCACCCTGCCGTCCTCCTCCTTTCTTCTTTGCATCACCTCCTCTTCCATTTCCCCTACAGTGCTCTCCTGCTGCTGCTTCTTATCTTTCATTCCTCTCTTCTCTCTACCTCCATTCTTCCCAGTGGGTAGCCACAGAATTGGCACAGTTACACATTTTGGCACTTCAGTCGTCATGGACAACTAGTCTTTTTCACTGCAGGGCAAAGCAGCTGCACAGCAATGGATAAAAATGCCAAGTTGATCAGCCAGTCAATCAACTAGGCAGACATTTTGTTGTCGATAATGTTGTGATTCTTTAAATTTAAAATGCTGTGTCCGTGGTATTTATACACTGCATTTTACAGTTATCACTTGTTAGTTTGCTTGTAGATAGAACTACTCATACTTACATTCACATGCTACAGAGCATAGCCCGACTTAACATTGGAAAACAAGACTAAGAGCTAGCAGCTTTGTGAGGCTGTAACAGCAGTGCTTTGTCAACATGCTAACGTAGTCACAATGACAATGCTAACATCCTGATGTTTTGCAGGTATGATTGTTACCATTTTCACTACATTAGCTAAAAGTACAGCGGAGGTGGATGGTAAAGCCATTAGTTTTGCCAGTGTATTGGACAAATTTTTATTTTGAACTAATGGTGGTGCTAGAGGGATTTTAAAGCCAATTTCATGGTAATCCAATAGTCGCTATGGCCCTCATGGTGGTGCTAGAGGTAAAGTCAGTTTATGACATATTGTAGTCTGAATCAAAGAGGTGGACCAAAAGACGTTGCCATCCATAGGGTCACATTGCTAGTGTGGTAAAAACTGTGTTACAAGCCATGCTTTTACTAGATGAACAGATACATTAGAGTCTATGAACAAAGATGATTCGACAAATAGCAGTGAACATGGGCACACAACAAGAGTGTGTGTTATTACTGGTGATAGAGAGTTTATGAAAAGGACAAAACAGTGGAAGAGACAGAGAGCAGTGTGCCTTCTCAGGAAAACATTGGCATGCAGCGTAAAGCAGTTGGATCACCATATGTGTCTCAAAATGGTGCAGAAAGTCTGTTAGAGTCATAAATCAGTTGGACACATGTCTAACGTCCTGAAACTGAAATCATAATACTCCATGTGTTACCTCAGTTATTCTTATTATTATGATTATGATCTTATTTTACAGATTTCTTAGCTGTAAAAAACAGTTTGTTTTGTAGTGCATCAATGAAAATACACACTGTGATTTTCATCTAATCAGAATATTCAGAAAGGTACAGAGGGCTTTCAAACCTTACATCACTGTTTTTGACCCTAGAGCACACAGACTCTGTCCAAAATTGAGACTTCAGCTTCCATAACAGGCGGAGCTTTGATGATGCCTCGGGCAGAGAAAAGAAACCTAATCTTACCTCACCCAAACTCTCCCTGTAGATCCTCTCCCTGCTACTGCTGATTATTCTGACATCAGTGGGTGAAGAAAGTAAAGTAGGCAGCTAGCCACGGGGATATAGAAAACACTGGCAAGTATTGTAAATGTTGTAGGTAAGCCTTCCAACACAGGGAAATAAGAAGTGTGGGGTTTCTTTCAAGCTCTCAGTGTTGTGCCAGTCAGTAAACCTGCTTGATTGTTCTGAAGCATTTCAGTGTGTACATCATGCAGTTTGTAAGTCAGTCAATCAGGTTGTATTTTAGATTTGACTGTCAATCACGTTTGGTAGTTTGTCAATCAATCTGTTACTTTAATGGTAGTGTTCATCTGTGCCCTGTAGGAACAGCCACTGACATTGAAGCTTAACCTTAATCCATAAAGGCTACTGAATTCGCCATGAAAACACACTCTCTGTCTGTCTGTCTGTCTGTCTGTCTGTCTGTCTGGCAGCTTTCTACTTTACCCAGCCAACTAATGTAATGCTGCTTATGTGATAATGCAACCTGTGGTGTAGTCGATACACATACAGAGAAATGCTAAAGAGAAAAGAGACAAACTGACATATAGATGCCACTTCAGACAATTATGAGTCACATCAAAACACATCAAATCACATCCTTTTGTACGCATGTACATGTGTGCAATAACTCTGGCTGCTCATTTACATGCATGCACGTGTTACTATGTGTATCCGTGTGGGAAACACGCTGTGAGTGTGTGTTCTTCCCCCT